ATGTTATGTATGTTAGATGATTTTAATTATTTCTAGCAGTTTCGAGAAGATAAAACGAATTATTAGTATTAGATATTTGCTGATTGGATAAATTAATCTGTGATTTCTGCACTCATCATTTGCATATGCATTTGCATTTCAGTTCGAACTTGAAGTTGTTTCGCCGGGCGATCTTCTTGCCGCGGCGAATATACGAATAACTGGTGAGAAACAAACGGGTTGACCCTTCGAAAATATTTACGCGTGTAGCTGATCGCAAACACATAAAATAATATGACATATCCGAGGACGCCGCAAATGCGGCGCATGGCTTCGTTCGCCGGCCGCGCCGCTGCAGTTTTGTTTATTTCATTTTGTTTGCCCGACAACACGGTACCTCCAATTTCCAGATCCAATATCATCGTTAATATTGATCTCCAACACCGGCTAAAATGGAATAGCGATACTGAGCAACGCCGTTATAATTGTAATGTGTAATGCAGCGGATGACTCTTCTAGCGCGTACGTACTTGACACCGATGCGTACGTACGCGTGTACAAGTGTACAAACACGAGCATTAATCTTTATAGGTAAACTTATAGATGATGCATGATGATGCGAGAAGTAAAATTGTTATCTACGAAAGATAAATAAACGCGAAAGGAGTTATCTGACGAGAGGATCCGATGCAAATCGGATAAAATATCGTTCTATCGCGTTTATAAATGATTATGTATTACGCGACACGACTTTGCAAGTGAAATGATCGTCTGTAAAAGATACAAATAACGCGGAAGAACATGTGAAGAGCATTGAATACTTTGCAAACGGCTTCATTACGAGGTAAACGTAATTAATGTTATTAATCGTGCGACTGATGTGATTTAACTATCTGACTTCGTACACGATTACGTCGCTGCTGTAATTAATTGTACACATGTGTCTAATAACACGTGGCATCTTGTATTAATATTACGCCTCCCAACGACCCTCAGACTGACCCCGGCCTGTCTTGCACGGGTCAAGCAACGAACGAAGAGATCTAAGAATCTCCATATTTTCGTCAAATCGCTAGATAAGAATCCAAAAGAGACCCTTCGACAGTGTACAATACTTGCGTTTCTCACGATCAATCGCCACCCTTCCAGAAATCGGATTCTCGAACACGAATTCTAGGTGTAGAAAAAGATTGTCCCGAACCATTGCAAAAGAATATTTGAAATCCACTCGTTTTCTCGAGGGTCTCTATTTCACGTTTCCTTTGAAAAAATCACGATATCTTAATTGAAATGAGAACGTCGAAATGAAATTTTCATACGCAGAATGAAACGTGACGATCATCTTCGTAAGGCCATTCGAGAAATTCAATCCGAAGGAGAGAATGGTATTCGCGAGTATTTACGCAGATTATAAATGAGCGAGGAGAATTATATAGTCGAATATAGATTGGATACGACGTAATCCATCTATCCCAACTGCCATTCAATGGACGGTGAAACAAAAGGAGTTTACCAAAAAGCCTGAAGCTCGAGTGGGAAAAAATTTCGCCCGGTGGCGTTTCCAAGCTTTTCGCCGTGATCCGTTACAGACGCTTATTTCTTTCATGTGTGAGAATAATGCGCCTGACTGTATGAATATATATATATATATAT